GGTAGAAAGCCATTTCTACCCGGAAAAGCTCACCGGAAGCGCTGGCGCCGCCATCTTTTTTTGATGAAAAAGTGCTTCCGGTGAGCTTTTCCGGGTAGAAAGCTCACCGGAAGCACTTTTTCATCAAAAAAAGATGGCGGCGCCCAGCTAATGCCGGTACCGGGCCGCGCCATAAAAAAGGTTGGGGATACCGGGCCGCGGCATAAGAAAGGTTGGGGATCACTGGCATAGGGTATAATTAGGACAGGTTGGGATGTTCCATAACCATTAATCCTATGCCACTAGTTAGCTTCCTTCCCGCAGGAACGTCAGACAGGCCCCTTCTGAGGTAAGCCTGCAATGACTCAACAACCCATTAAGCGCAAATGGGCCATGGGCCTCATTTAGAAACTGGGGAAGATTTGCGTATGGCCACAGTCGTGCCAGTTAGTGATGCAAGATTTCAGTGTCCAGAATTATTGTGCTGGGCAGCCTAGGCAGTAAACTCACCTGCTTAAGGAGGCCGGAAGGGAAGAGCAGCAAAGATATAACATTAAAAGCAAAAAGAATGAGGAGTCAAGATTGGGGGATAAATAGTTACATTGCTTTATCTTGCTGCAAATTCCTTCCCTGGACCAAATTTGTGGCTGGATCATCCTTTAACTCGGGGTTTAAAAGCAAAGGACACCGTTACTTTCAATTGCATCGCTAAAGCAAAGCTTTTATTATTGTTATTTTTAGATCAGCCTTTCCAGCTTGGTGCTTTTGTTGAGAATTGGAGCGCAAGGCTCAAAATTCCCAACCGACTTCTGCACTCTGACCTGCTGGAAATTGTAGGAAGCTGACAATGGGATGTCACTGGAAGAGGTTGTCTGGAGTGGGGAGTGTGGGAATTGAGTGTCAACTCATAAACCATTCCTATGCCTGTTTTAATAGTTGCCATAAAAAAGGGGGGGGGGGGGGGAGGAAGGAAATCTGGAAGAGCAGTTGAAATCAAAAGTACATTCCAACTCTTATCTTTGTAACTAAAATACCAGAGTTTTTGCCCGCCCGATATACAGTATTTATTTGGAGAACGTGATTGATGACCCCCAGCCTGTGAACATGCTCAATTGGTGAATCTGGTTGAGGAGACACCCCGGAGGGAGGGGGGAAACAGGGTCAAAGGTGACTGTAAATTAGGTATGCCAGAGTTGGCTTCATACAGGGCAGTGTTAGTATGTCGCCTCTAATAAATCCTTTGAAGTTTTTTGAAGTTTGGCTCAAGAATCATGATTTGATTAGGGCGATTGCTGGAATCCTGACATTGAGGGGTTTTTAAAGATGAGGACAGGCTGGGAAGCTTCCATGGCTTCTTTCTTACCCTTAAAGGGCAGATTCTGCGCAGCTGGAATTTATCCCTTACATTTCTATATTACAATTTTCAGCTTTAGGAGCAGAAACAGGCCTTAAGGGTCCAGCCCTACTCTAATGTGAACATGACCAGAATTTTTAGGGGCATCAACAGAACAGGTAGTCCTCGACTTACGACTGCAAGTGAGCCCAAAATTTCCACTGGTAAGCAACCCAGCTTATTAAGCGAGCTTTGCCCCATTTTGCAACTTTTCTTGTCACCGTTGTTAAGCGAATCTGGCTTCCACGTTGACTTTGTTTTGTCAGAGGTCGCAAATGGAGATAGCATGATCCCGGGACACTGCCACCGTCATAAATATGAGCCAAGTGGCCCAGCAGCCTGAATTTTGATCATGTGACCGTGAGGATGCTACAAGGGTCGTAAGTGTGAAAAGCGATCATAAGTCCCTTTTTTTCTGGTGATGTCGTAACTTCGAACGGTGACTAAAACGAAAGGTTCTAAGTCGAGGACTACCTGTAATGGGGAAATGCTGGCTGGAGCAGGAAGAAAAGAGAACGGAATTGTTTGTGGGAATAAAGAGAAGGAAAAGAAAGTTTGCCAAGTAAGAACACCCCCCACCCCACAATTTCTGTGCTTAAAGAACCGGGCCTGATTTCGCCTCATTTATGCCTCTTCATACTATAAGACAGCAGTTGTGTTAAAAACTGGCCTAGGCAGCCATTTTGTCCCTGTTCAGCTCAGGTACACAACGTTGGCTTCTCCCAAAGAAAGTCCAACACCCCGGATTCTGAAACCTGGTTAGTTGAAAAGCCTCGCAACTTTGCTACCCGCAACGGTCCATAGGAAACTTACAGCGTCTGATAGGTGTTGTCCTTCGACCGGAGGAACTTCACCACAAAGAAGGCGACAGCTTGGATGCTGAGCACCAAGACGATCCCTCCAATGAAGCTGGCCGAGTCAAAGCCCGGTGGATAAAACTCGGGTGGGAGAGTTTCTGGTGGGCCAGTGGTCGAGCCTAGAAGGAACCAAGCCAAGGAAGGGACTGAGAGGAAGCAAGGCAAGAGAACTCATCCCGAACTTTCCCCCAAACTTTATTGTAGATGATATAATGACTCAAAATGACACTATAGGGCACTGCACACAAGAACAACTAGACACAAGGGCAGTTTTTCCCCGAATGCCATCACTCTGCTAAACAAATAATTCCCACAACACTATTTAGTAAGACTGTATTACTATTATTCCTCTACTACTAGATAATAACACTTCCTACCGCCTATCTCTTCCCGCTTATGACGATAACCGTGTTGTTTGTATCTTTACCATTTATACTGCTTTATTTGTTTCCTAGTATGATTTGATTGCTTATTATTAACCTATGACTATCACTAAGTATTGCATTCTTGATGAATGTATTTTATGTTTTCTTATGTACACTGAGAGCATTTGCACCAAGACAAATTCCTTGTGTGTCCAATCACACTTGGCCAATAAAAGAATTCTATTCTATTCTATTCTATTCTATTCTATTCTATTCTATTCTATTCTATTCTATTCTGTTCTGTTCTGTTCTGTTCTGTTCTGTTCTATTCTATTCTCTATTCTAGTCTAGATGCTGCGTGGAAAAGATGGGAGATGAAATATTCTCCTTCTTTCAAGGACATGAGAACATGGGAAGGTTATGGACGTCATTGTTTGGGGTTGTTTTTGTTGCTTAAACCCACATCTAAACTGGAAATCACGGCAAGCTAAACCCTGATAAAGAGAGATACGTTTATACTGCAGGTTGTGGATGATTTCTGCTTGTTTTGGTGCCTTCGAGTCGTTTTTGCCCCCTGGACCATTCCCTGCAGTTTTTTTGGGCAAGGTTGTTGAAAAGTGGTTCACCCTCCTTCCTATGGCTGTAAAAATAAAGGGACTGGCCCATTTATCCTTGTGCCTAAGGCAGGACTAGAACTCACAGTCTCCTGGCTTCTAGCCTGATGCCTATGCCACTACACCAATGTGACTCTTGAATACAGCGGTACATATCGTCTAGCAAATCTGATTCCACATCTGTACTTTAAAAAAAAAAATGAACATGGAAGTGTTGGGAAGGCATCCAGCTTCAAAGCAAGAGAGAAAATCCTTCTTCCTACAAAAAATGTCTGTTAGCATTTCTTGATCTGTTTGGGTGGGATCTGAGACCCATCAATAAATACCTTACATTACAAGCTGCATACACCCTTGTATCCCACCCACCCCCCACCCCACGTGCACTGCTGATGTTACCTAGTTGGGTAATGAAATGTCTGCAGGAAAGCAACCACGCCTAGAAAGCACCAAGGATCCCACCATTCAACCCTAAGCTACAAAAGTTCTCTTGTATTGGGCCAAGCAAAGTTTCCTATCCCCTCCCCTCCCTTTTCTTCTTATCCCTTCCCCTCCCCTCTCACTATCCCTCCTCTTCTCTTTCCTCTCTCCTCCCCTCCCCTCTTGCCACTCCTCCTCTTTCCTCTCTCCTATCCTCCCCTCCTTCCTTCCTCTCCTTTCCCCTCTCCCCTCCTCTTGGCACGCTCCCTCCTCCCCTCCCCCCTTCATTTCCTTGGAGAAGGGAGACTGATTTCAAAACAGATCTACCCTGTCTTCTCCCAGGCACATTTTGCCCCAAAGTGAAGAAGAATGTCAAAAAAACAACAACAGGATGGCCGACATGGATTTGACGAGGACGGAGTAACACAGGTTGGAGCATCTCTAAACAGATTCAGTGCTGGAGCCTCCACACTAATGTGCCTGTGTATCAGCCTATGTGCCTCTGGTATCTCTCGGGGCCTTTGCACCTGGGATTTCTTTGTTGTTTCAAATGAAAGCCGCACCTGTTCTCATTATGTGCCCAGGAGCTGGGCTGATTTATTGCCATCTCCGTTTGCAGGGGATCTGAAGTCACAACAAAGCGGGGATTTTTCCCTTGAAACCCAGCAGCTCTGAGAGCTCACAGGCAGCTTCTGCGGTTTTCCTCTCTTCCCTCTTATGGTTAGGATCCTATTAAATGTCACCCGAGGTTCCTATTTTGTGCCCTTGGTGGGAGGAGGCGGGTGTGTGTGTGTGTCTCCTCAATCAGCAGCAAGACCTTTTGAATGGAGTCCCCGAGTTACGATCACATTTATGTTGCTAAGTGAAACATTTGTTAAGTGACTTTTGCCCCCATTTCGCGACTATTCTTGCCACCGTTGTTAAGCGAATCATTGCATTTGTTAAGTTAGTAACATGGGTTGGTTAGTGAATCTGGATTTCCCCATGGACCAACGGTGAGATTCAAATATTGTTGCCACCGGTTCGGTGGGTGTGGCTTGGTGGGCGCACTTTTACGTGCGTGCACACACTTGGCGTGCACACGCGCCAAACAGACACTTTGCACAAGCACAGAGGCGTTCTAACTCGCCTCCTACAAGCCTGCATGATCCCGGTTGCTTCAGCAGCTGCCGCGCGGCGCTATTCTGTGCCGCGCAAAGCAGCTGTGCTTCAAATTCAGTGGATATAGGTGAGTATGGGAGCCCAGGCGGGTGGGTGGGCCCAACAGCTGAGCAGCGGAGAAAACTGGTTGGGTCTGCTGCTGCTCATCGCCCCTACTGGCTCTCTAGAACCGGACAGAACTGGTCAAATACCACCACTGCCATGGACTTTGCTTGTCAGAAGTCCGCAAAAGTTGCAGAGGTCCGGTAGGCACCCGTCATAAATGTGAGCCAGTGGCCAAGCATCTGAATGTTCGATCACGTGACTATGGGGGATGCTGCAACGTTTGTAAGTGTGAAAAAGGGACATAATAAATCACTTTTTTTCCAATGCTGTTGTAACTTTGAACGGTCACTAAATGAAGTCAAGGATTGCCTGTAGTTTTTTTTTTTTCCTGAACAGTTACACAACCCAAGGAACAAAGCAACACCTTGTGTGAAGGAAACGGGAGTCTATGGAATCGTCTTAGGATTCTGCCACCCAATTCTGTTGAATTTGACAGTCCAGAATAGAGCTGTTCTCCCAAGGAAGGTTTGCCTTGAACGCCAAGCAGAGGCCTCTGAATTCAGAGTATGACAGCATCTCATAAATCAACTTTCTCCAGACCAGCCACCTCCACGAGGCCTTCTGATTGATCTACCAGGGCTACCCAAGTGAATAATAAAAACACCTGAACAGCAGAGTGATTTGGCTATTACTTGCTATCCCCAACTGTAAGTAGGCGTATATTTATTGATTTCTAAGATTACTACCTTTCTCCTTGCCAAACTGCCTCTGAGCTGCAAATATATTACTACAAGGGCATCTGTACCTGCTCCATTTCCCCCATGGTGGCTCATTTAAAATATTTCCATTATCAGAGTACAGGTAGTCCTTGACTTACGACCACAGTGGGGACCAAAACTTCTTTTGTTGCTATGCAGGGCAGTTTAGTGAATTGGGTCCAATTTACAACCTTTTTTGGCTGCCATTGTTACACAAATCACATTGGCTATTCACAGCAATAGTACTTAGATTTTTATACCGCTTCACAGTGCTTTTACAGCCCTCTCTAAGTGGTTTACAAAGTCAGCATATTGCCTTCTACAATCTGAGTCCTCATTTTACCCCCGCTCAGTAGGATGGAAGGCTGAGTCGACCTTGAGCCTGGTGAGATTTGAACTGCCAAATTGCAGGCAGCCGGCAGTCAGCAGAAGTAGCCTGAAGCACTGTACTCTAACCACTGCGCCACCACGGCTCATTAGTGAAGCATATGGTTGTTAAGTGAATTTGGCCTCCCCCATTGACTTTGCCCATTGGAAGCTGTCTAGGAAAGTCTCAAATGGTGATCACGGAACCCACTCACGGGACAATGCAACCATTATAAAATACACGCCAGTTCCCAAACACCAGAATTTTGATTACGTGACTATGAAGACACTGCAACAGTTATAAGTGTAAGGACCAATTGTAAGTCACTTTTCTTCACTGCTGTTGGAATCTTTAACGGTCGCTAAATGAACGATGGTAAGTCAAGAGCTACCTGTGATATACTAACAATATGAATAGCAACAGCACTTAGACATATACCGCTTCACAGTGCTTTACAGCCCTCTCTAAGTGGTTTACAGAATCCGGGTCCTCATTTTACCCACCTTGGAAGGATGGGAAGCTGAGTCAACCAGTGAGAAGTGAACTGCTGGCAGCGAGAAGAGTCAGCCTGTAATGTTGCATTCTAACCACTGCACCACCAGGGCCAAGGAAAGGAACAGAGAAATAGCAATAGCACTTAGACTTATATACCGCTTCACAGTGCTTTCCACAGTACTCTAAGCAGTTTACAGAGTCAGCCTATTGGCCCCAACAATAGTCCTCATTTTACCCACCTCAGAAGGGTGGAAAGCTGAGTCAAAGTAATCTGCAGTACTGTGCCACTATGGCTCTCATCTTATCTCATCTCATTTCTCTTCTCCCTATTACATAAGAAGGATTCTTGACAAACTGGAATATGTTTAAAACAGGGCTCTCCAAACTTGGCCACTTTAAGACTAGTGGACTACAACTCCCATAATTCCTCAGCCAGTCATGCTAAGGAGTCTACAAGTCTTCAAGTTGCCAAGTTTGAAGGCGCCTGGCCTAGAAGAAGAGGGTAACTTTAAAGTGGGGGACATCACATCCTGGCACTACAGTGGAAGGGCTTGCGTTGGTTAAGACAAGAGAAGACAAACTTGGGGAAAGAGAAAAAAAAACAAAACACCCATGGTTTTCAACACTGCGATGATGCGTTGACATGCAGAAGATGGAACAGAGGTGTCTGTTTTGCTTCAAGGAGAGGATAAGAAATAATGAGGTCGTTGGGAAGCCAATTTGGGGGAAACTTCAGGCGAAGCTTCCTAATTGACAGTGGAACGAGTACTTCAGAAGTCAGGATGACAGTGGAACTCCTACGCTCTAGAGGGCTACTGGTCAGGGATGCTACAGCGGTGACAGATGCAACATGGCCAAGAGGGGAGCGTTGGACCATTCATCCTTCCTCATCAGGTGCTCTCCAGATAGGTTGAGAAGAGAGCCTTCCAGCCAACAGACTGCAGCTGGCAGTTCAATACACAGACCGCAGATTAAAGGAGGCTTGCGCAAGAGGCCTCTTTGAATCCCATTGTTCTCCTTCCTTCCCCCGTCCAGTATCAGTTAAATTAGGCCCGTATGGAAGGAAGGCAAACACAGACAGACCCACTCCTCCTCCCCCCCCCGTATACCTCGGCTATTTTCCCTCCAGCTCTTCCAGAAGTTCCCGATTCTGAGCGGTAAGCTCATTGGGGCTTAGAGATCTTGGTTTGTTTTGCTCGTTAAACTTCATAAACTGCCACATGCCCCCATAGCGTAGAATAAATCATTCTTATTTGACAATGCTGCCTCCGCTGCTGCCTCCTTCCATTATCTGTTTTCAGCAAAGAATCCCTGGCTGGCAGAGTTAACAAGCCAGAGCCAACCAGCTCTTTTAAGCAGCAGTTCTGGTTTCCTGGCAGTAGAAGAGATTAGATGATGCCGAAGGGACCGGGGAGTGGAATTTCCTGGCCAAATCAAAGCCTGGTTTTAAGATGTCTGGATGTTTTCCTTGCAAGCTATTCCCTCCCACCTCCTCCTCCCTCTGGCCACCCACCCCACAAAAGTCAACTCTAACACGCTGCAACTCCAACACATGCTTAATAGAAAGTAGCCCTTTCCAGAAAAGATCCATCCCACACACAGACGCACAAAAATGATGGCTACTGGAAAACCACCCAGGCGGGAAGGAAAGCTTCCAACAGGAAATGCAGAGGATGAAGCGAAGCGGTTAGGACATGCCAGAGAGGCTAGCGTGGAAGCCCCACCAAAGCTGCTTCATGCGCCCTGAGATAAATGCGCATGCAATGGCCTATAGGGAGCCTCTGGCAGATCAATAATTCAGAAGGTTCTGGGGTAGAGTTTCTCACTTTAATTAGCCCAAAGCTCCTTGCTGCCTGCGCTTCGTTTCGGCAGGAAGATTCATCCTCCCAAAGAGCACCCACCGCTGCTCATTCGCACCCATCCATCTCCTGCTGGCTTCTTTATTAGAGAGCCATTTCCTCTGGCCTGCCTGCTTAAGCTTTGCTGCCCAAGTAGGGCAGGCCTGGTTAGAGCTTTCCAAGCCCCTCCAAGAGGGGGAAGAGATGTTTTTTTTTTAATTAACTCTCTTAATTTTCACCTGCAGTTGGTGGTGAAAGGCAATAGATGCCTTGCAGGTGTGATGCCATGACACAAGCCTCCGTGTTTTGAAAGCCGCTGCGAGATAGCCTTCCAAGCCAACATTTGTAAGATAGAGAACAGGCTGGGGGCTGCTTCTCTGCTCCCAATTCTCTCCCATATCCAGATTTTAACTCAAGTTAGAAATTTTAGGAAGCACCAAGAGTTGCCGAGAGACAGGTAGAATATAAATATCATCACAACAATAATACAAATGTGGCTGCGGTGACCTCTAGGGTTATCAGCAGACAGAGAGCCATATCCAAAAGTCTTGGACGTGCAAAATCTGCACATTGAAAAAAATTCCACCTGTCAATTACACAAGGCTACACTACTGGGATCCCCACATGTACTATACCGGTATATTACGATATCCTAGGTTCTTGGGAAGAACTCAATGCATAGGAAGGCCAATCTCAGCTAAAGATTTCACATTGTTGTATATATAACATAAAGAGTAGACTGTCAGCCCTCCCAGATGGACTGGATAAGAAGTACAACCAATAAGCTAATTCTCCTTTTTTGAAAAACTACCTTAACAAGGAAGGACTCAGTGGAGAAGAGCCTAATGCTGGGAAAGATTTGAGGGCAATGAAAGAAGGGGACGACAGAGAATGAAGTGGCTGGATGGAGTCACTGAAGCAGTTGGCGTGAGCTTAAATGGACTCCAGGGGATGGTAGAGGACCAGAAGGCCTGGAGGAACATTGTATATAGGGCCGCTATGGGTTGGACACGACTTTGCAACTAACAACAAAAACAACATTAACAGAATCTTGCAAGTCTGAAAGGACAACTCTTCCCTTGTCATCTTAAAACCCAAAAATCGAGGGAGGGTCTTTCTTGAGCCTTTTGCTTTGCCCAGCATGCAGCTGTGGGCTATGCTACCTCTTATCTAACAGTTCCTTTGGCAGCATCTCTTTGCTCAGTTATTCCCACATACTGTTACATGGATACAGTTTTTCCGTGAGCATGCTAGTTGGGGAATTTTGGGAATTAAATGGGTTGGGGACAGATGAATCTGATGCCTTTTATGGACTCTCCCAACTCTGTTAATCTAACAGTGTTGGTTGCCATGATCTCTAATCCACAGCAAAATACATTTTTAATAGATGGGGTGGAAGACTCAAGTCAACATCCCACCCAAATGAGTTTCGGTTACGTATTTGCTTCGTTTCACTTCATCTTTTTCCATCCACAGGAACGGCTGCCTTTAAGGATGTACTTTTCAGTGTATTTCGCCTTAAAGCTGACATTTCCAAATTCAGCATTTTTCTCGTGTCTTTTTAAATGCCTGTTAATCACCCGAGTTGAGAACTCTGTTGCATCCTTTAGAAAAATGTGAAAATCCAACGGATAACCAGAATCCAATTTATACATTAGCCCAAGAGGTCAAGCCAGCTCGTCTCCGAATTTGCAAAGATGGAATCCCTTGAACATCCCTCGTTAATGCAAAATCCTAAAAATAGACTTCCTCCGATTTTGTCTCTTTCAAATGTCTTGGAACTGCCCTTCCAGAATCCCTCCCCCTTTTCAATAAATCCATTGGACCTGCTCGCTAGAAAAGATGAAAGAGGTAATTTAGTACATCTGGAAGGCACAGTCTTAGGTCAAGCCCGTGCTCACAAATTTGCCCAATTCCCACAGAGAGCTTCTGCTAAACCTTCTGTGAAGGTTTCAGCAGCATCAAGGCAGCATCTTTTGCAGAGAAGATGAAAACATTTAAGCAGGAATATTTTCCATGCCTTTAAAAGCTACTAAATACAGCAGTATCTCCCCAATCTGCATGCCTCCGAATATCTTGGCCTACATTTTCCACTAGTCTTCTCTGTCTCTTTATGCATTTGCTAGTGAATTGAAGCAAATAAACCTCTATTGAGGAAGAAATAACCCCCTATTTCCCATTCTGTGCCCCCAGGTTAAGAGAGTTAAATGTCCAAGATCTTCAACTCGTGCGGAGGACACCAAGTGAAGGAATGGTGGGGTAGTGAATATTTGTTCTGATCCAAGCCTTGTTCAAATCAAACAAACACAAAGTATGTACAAAAGCAAACCTTTTTAATGCAGCACTGTGAATTCTGTGCATTCACAGCCAAGAGTCATTCAAAACTAATTGTCCCATATAAAAGCAAGCCCTTTCAAGGTTGCAAAAGGCTGCCAGGAACAAAAGACTAATTGCAGATAAATATCCAAAGCCAGAAGTTTCAAAAAACAAACTGGAGAAAGCAGGGCTTCAACGAGGACTCTGAGTAGAAAGAACTTCTTTGCTTCCTGCAAAGAAGCCAATCCCGAAGGCTGGCTTTTATCCCTTATGGGAGGGGCCATCCACTTCCAGCCTTACTCCCAAGTCGCCCGTGCTGCTTCAGCTGCTCTTTCCTTCGAGCAGCCCTGCACACACGCACACTGAGCACTGGCTCCCCGGGGTCCTCTGCATCACTGCTGCCAGACTCCATAACCTCTGAAGGCAGCCCCTCATTCTCCGACAGTCCTGGCCCCATCCCTGCATCACATGCAGGCCCCTCGTGCGAGTCCTCACTCTCAGAGACCTCAGCCATCCACACCTGCTGCCAGCGAACCACAACAATATTGAATTAGATAGGTCCTTTTCATTTGACTCAATATAGCTCAGTCTTTGACTTACCACCATTAATTTAGTGTCTGTTCGAAGTTACAACGGCACTGGGGGAAAAAGTGACATGACCGTTTTTCACACTTATGACTGTTGCGGCATCCCCAGTGGTCATATGATCCAAATTCAGACGCTTGGCAACTGACTCGTATTTATGACAGCTGCAGCGTCCTGCATACAATCCGCTTTTGTGATCTTCTGACAAGCAAAGTTTATGGGGAATATAGATTCACTTAACAACCAGCTTACTCACTTAATAACTGCAGTGATTCGCTTAACAACTGTGGCAAGAAAGGTTGTGAAATAAGGCAAAATTCACTTAAGCGTCAGTAAGAGAAATTTGGGCTCAGTTGTGGGTTTAAGTCCAGGACTCCCTGTAAAAGGCCGTTTTTAGGTATATCTTGGTCCACACACAAACCGATGAGACGCCAGCAAGTTTTTGGTTGTGGTAATAATGATGGATGCTCATTACCACATCACTGTCAGCTGAAAGGACCTCTCAGTTTCTCTGAGGCTCCTAAGGGAATCAGGGAAGGAACATCACAGCATCCCTACCCTCAAGCCACAACCTTTGTCTCCAACTGGGACATGTTTATGACCTATATCACTGCCACTCAACCTGTTTGATAGGAGGAGCAATGAAGAACAGTTTGAAAAGAGAATATAAAATAACAGAATTAGAAGGGACCTTGGAGATCTTGTAGTCCAACCCCATGGCTAGGCAGGAAACCCTACACCACTTCAGACAAATGGTTGTCCAACATCTTTTTAAAAACTTCCAGTGTTGGAGCATTCACAACTTCTGGAGGCAAATTGTTCCACTGATTAATTGTTCTAACTGTCAGGAAATTTCTCCTTAGTTCTAAGTTGCTTCTCTCCTTGATTAGTTTCCACCCATTGCTTCTTGTCCTGCCTTTAGGTGCTTTGGAGAATAGCTTGACTCCCTCTTCTTTGTGGCAGCCCCTATGTAAGCACTTGCCAGAAATATCCTGATTGGAAGCATTTGGAAGCGCTTTGATATCGTTTGACATTTTCCATGCGAATACTTGCTGCCCAGCCCTTCCTCTTCCAGTGTAAACAAACTTACACAGATGACTTACCAAGCATGGGAATCTTCGGCTCCTTGGAAGATGGATGTAGAGGCTCCTTTGTGGTTGGGTGGGGATGCTCTGTGGTAGTTAGCTTTCGTTCTGTAAAAAAGAATATTTTTTTTTAAAAGCCTCCACTATATAGCAATAGCACTTAGACTTATATACCGCTTCATAGTGCTTTACAGCCCTCTCTAAGCGGTTTACAGAGTCAGCCTATTTCCCCCAACAATCGGGGCCCTCATTTTACCCATTTTGGAAGGATAGAACGCTGAGTCAACCTGGAGCCTGGTGGAATTCGATCTGCCAAATTGCAGGCAGCTGGCTGCAGCAGAAGCAGCTTACAGTACTGCACTCTAACACTGCGCCACCGAGGCTCTAATACCATGATGGCGAACCTATGGCACGCAAGCTGCAGGCAAACTTACCTCACTGTGCATGTGCGCGCCTCACAGCTGATTTTCAGCCGGTTTGAGGCCTTTTTCAGCCTCCCAGAGGCTTCAGGAAGGCTTTTGCAGACTTCTGCAGGATTTTCAGGCCGAAAATTAGGCCCGTTTCACCACTTTCTGTTTTTCCAGAAATACCGGATGTGATGAAATGGGCCTAGTTTTCAGCCTGCAGAAGCCTTCCTGAAGCCTCTGGGAGGCCGAAAATCAGCGGTGGGGGTGGGGGGTGGCAGCAAAGTGGGTGGGGTTGCACGCGCATGTGTAGGGGGCATAGGGGACATATATATATTGTGTAGCAAGAAAAAAAAGAGAGACCTTCAAATTAAAGCAAAAACTGTTAAAATTGCCCAATGAAAATACAGTTACGGTATCCCAAAGGTGCTTTTCTAAAGGCAACTGGACTTTCTTGGGGTTTTTTCCCCCTTGAAAACATTTCCCTTCTCCTCCAAGAAGCTTCTTCAGTTCTTCGGTTCCAGTATGTAGATTCAAACCTTTGTGAAATTTGTATGATAGTGATGGAAAGAGGGCAGATGGCTAGAGAGCTCAAACATCCTTCTCGTAAGAAAGTTTTGTGAGTCTTTAGTTTGGAGAAGAGGAGAACATAACCGGTGTCTAGGAGGCCATGCCTATCATAGAGAAAGCAGACAGGGAGAAGTTTTTCACCGTCTCCAAAGCGTCAGCCTGCAAAACGACTTCAACCGAAGCCATGCTTACTTCTGCTTTGTTTCTTCGTTGCCATTCAAGGGTAGAGGGGGTGAACCTTAGGAATGTGGTGCCTCAGTTGGTTAGTCATAACATCTACCTGCGTGTGAACCAAGGTCATGTCAACAGACACCTGTTGGGAATCTACGGCTGGACAGACTGGCCCACGTGACCTGAGAGATCTGGAGGGAGGGATGGAAATCCTATGCTTTTAAATATCCCTATGCATGGGAATAATTTAGAGCTGGCTTCACTTTTCTGAGTGCCAATATGATGTACTCATTAAAATAGTTTCTTCAACCTGAACAATGTGTCAGAGTCCTGAATTCCTGGAGTTCATTACGCAGAACAATGACCCAAAGTCTAGGACAAGGAACCGTCCAATGAAACTGACTCGGGAGGGATTAAGAAAAGAAGGAAATGCTTCTTCACGGAGCACACCTAGCTTGTGAAATTTTTCCTTCACTTGGATGATTTCAAAGGGGGTAGGGCAGTGGTGGGATTCAAATTTTCTTACTACCAGTTGTGTGGGCATGGCTTGGTGGGCATGGCAGGGGAAGGATACTGCAAAATCCCCATTCCCTCCCACCCCACTAACCTGCTTTCCAGCTCCGTTCTCCTGTGCAGGACAACCAAAGAAGACCCAGCCGATCAGCTGGGACTCGATGGGAAGCAGAGAAGAGATGGGGGCGGGGCCAGTCAGAGGTGGGGGATTTGCAGGTTCTCCGAACTACTCAAAATGTCCGCTACCGGTTCTCCAGAACTGGTCAGAACCTGCTGAATACGACCTCTGAGGTAGGGTAAATTATCCTAAAGCTTCAAGATTTAGGATGATCTCCCAGTCAGGGGCTGCTGTGAGAAGTAGGCAGCCATAGAAATTGAACCACTCTCTTAGGTCACTGTGTGAAACAAAATGGTGGATTCAGATCACTCCTGCCTGACCCAGCAGGGCAGTTTTTGATGATTTGATTCCATTATACTCTCTTAAGAAAACAGGATGATGAAAGCCAAGGGGAAAAATCTCCAAACGTAAAATAGCTATCAGGAAGAAAGACAAAGATGTGCACCTCTGTTCCATACGCTATCAGAAAATAATCTAAGTCCTTGACATATGACCGAAAGAAACCTGCCCATTACAGTCACAAAATGAATCGGTCATATGACAGAAGCCTGTCTCATGATCCTTTTTTTTGGTGGCAGTTAAGTAAATCACTGTGATTGTGAAGTGAACCTGTGGATGTTAAACGAACCAATGTTTCACAATGGGTGCAGTTTTGCTGAAAATCAGAATTAAATGCCAGGTTTCAGGAAAACTATCATAAAACATGGTCATGTGACTATGGGACATGGCAAACACCCATAAATTGGCCGTGTTGTCAAATTTAGTCATGTGTCCACAGAGGGGCTCCAACCATTGACTTCTTGAATCTGGGTAAGTGCCTTCTTTCAGGTCGGTCATATCTTTGAAGCAAGTCATAAGTCAAGGACTACCTGTAATACTACTAGAAATGTCTTACTAGGGAATTATCTTAAACCAATCATCTAATCTTGGGGTGGGGTGCTTTAGCTCTGTGTTTCTGAGATGGGACTGACCTAACTGGCCTCAGGTACGGATAAATAACTTTTCCCTTTTTGCAGTGAGCCAGAAGAAGAAAGGCAAAAAAATAAAAAAAAAATCAGCCGTGCCAAAAAAACATAATAAATTGGGTTTAAATCACATTGTGTCTTATTCAATACTTAATCACATTAAAACAAGAAAATGAGTGACAATTTCTATAGAAGCCAAACACTTTCTTGAGATGGTGGGACATGCAGCTCTGTGATAGATCTCAACCCAGAGTTTTTGTACTAGGGTTGTCCTAGTTACTACAATGTTTACTCTAGAATCACTGTTCAGAAATTTGCATCCGGTTTCTAAGGCTGCAGTAGACAAAGGGGTTATTAGGTTCAGATTTTCTATGCGCATTTGGTTTATCATACGATGAACCTGAAATTAATCATATGAGAGCTGAGCACAGCCCCAGTATCCATCATCTTGGACCAGTTCTTGCTGTCCATGACAACTGACAAAGCATTCTGATTTGCGAAGGAACACACACCCAACATGGACAAAGAACTATTCAATCCATAGTCTTTCCTTACATGAATTGGTCTCCACAAATCAGTAAACTTATATAATACAGACAGTAGGTTTTGCAAGGCCTTCTAACAAACCCTCAGCGAAGGATTACCTTCACAGCTGACAGTAGTGTTGAAAAATGAACATTTCTCCTTCAACGCTTCTCCATTCTTCACGCAGCTCCCCGTACCTACAAATGAAGGAAGTGGTGAAGCAGAGCACAATAACAAGCAACAGTTTTTACTTCTTCTTATTCTTCTTCCATGTATGGCAATACGGAACCAGGCTGGCTGGGTTCACTCGTGACAATAAGCTATGGCACGTTTTAGTTGTGGTTTGCAGGACCATCACCCCTCATCCACAGAAGGCCTCCAGATACCAGAGTTGCAAAGGAACGGTTGTGGGAAGGCATGAAGTTTCCATCTTCCACTTGGGAGCACTTGGTGAGGGAATCTAGGACAACTTGCTACTGCCAACTCGCCACAGGACAAATTTCCATCGCCAACTCGCTGCAGGACAATCCACATGGGATAATTCAGTGCAATAAATGTTATCTGCCACTGTTTCTTCTACATTACTTTCATTTTTGGCAGTGGAAATAATGTCAAAAAAACAGGGGTGGATAATATTTATCACGTTGATTTATCTCATGTGGAATTGTCCTGTGCCAAGTTGGCTGTGGCAAGATGACTGCACCAGGTTGGCCAAGGCAAGATGGCCACGGCAAGTTGGCCATGACATGATGGCTGCAGCTAGTTCACCATGGTGAGATGGCCATGGCGAGTTGGCTGCTGTGAATTGTCCCATTCCTCCTGGTGGATGGCAGCCCCATTAGTTGGGGGAAGACCAATAGACTTTCCTCCCACATAAATGACATGGTTGCTACCTCATTCTTGACCTAAAGTGAGCCTTAGAATTGTTTTGTTTTGTTTTAAGCGGAAGAAATTCTATCAGCTACTTCTGTCCCCAAAATGGCACTGAAGCAGTTGTCATCAGAAAAGTGAAGAGCTAACTCCTGCTGTTGATATCCTGTCTCTTTTTCAGAAAAGGTACAAACAGAAAAGATTTTATAATTAGGTTTGTTCCTGCAAAACACAGAAACACTAAATGCCCTTCTGCTTTGAATCAGTGGAAATCCAAAGTCTGGAACTTGTGGCTGTCATTTTTATTTGTTGTGATTGTGAGGTTCATAGAAAAGGCATTTTGGGGATGTTGTGAAATGCTGCTTCTTCTAAGTTTGAAAGTTCATCACTGTCACAAACCATTCAGACTCAGGTAATAGGAAGATGGAAACATTGACCTGTTCTACAGGGCTAATCGAAGAACTACTACACAAAACAACTTTAAAAAGTAAAAACTTAGGACAGAACAGTAAAACTTTCCTTCGTGCTCCCTGCAACTTCATTGATTTTATCCTTGTAGTTTTCTAAGCACCCAACATGAACACAACCTCGTTTTCATCCACAAAGCATTTAAAACCAAGAAACCCCAGTTGCCTTTTGAAAAGCACCTTTGGGGCAACCATAATGTGGATGGTTGAGAAACTTCATAGACCCAAAGCATTTTAAACCATTCTTAAAAATTGCCTTAAAAAAATCAACAGTAAGAACTTACCTATTCGCAGCTAAGCTCCTACTGTTGTTTCTTTTAGGCAATTTTTAAGAATGGTTTTAAATGATTTGGGTCTATGAAGATGCCTATATTTTGCTTGGCTTGCTGAATGTTAGAAGAAGTCTGGAGTCTGTTAGAAGAAGGTGGAGTTCTTATCCTGAAGCTGGATAAGAAAATAACGTAATCTACGGGGTCCTTATTACTCTCTCGGTTGTTTTTTGCAAACAGTTCATTACCAAACTGGGTAATGTTATCACAGCACTGATGATGTTACCTAGTTTGGTAAGGAAATGCCTTCAAGAAAACAACCAAGCTCAGAGAGCAACAAGGATCCCACAGTTCAACCTTGAACTACAAATATTGTGTTCTATGAGCTAATATAACTCTCCCTGCTTCTTGACGCAACCTCTTAGTTTCTAATCCATACTGGCCAGCAATTCTCGTTAGCAACAAGCACCAGATCTCAAAAATCAACAGACAGCAAAGGCTTTTTTTTTTTTTACAGCTCCGGGCTATCCTTCCCTTCCTGGAACTGTAGCCAGGGCAACAAGTCAGGTACAAACCAAGACATTCAGAACTTGAGATGGCTTAGATGTTCCCATAAAATAGAAGGATTTTCAGAGTGATGGCCTTAACGTGGCTCTTGTGGACAATTACAACTTTCAGCATCTGTCACTATTGGCCATGAAGGCTAATTGGCTAGAAGTTGCAGACTGCCAGCTCATCTTTGCAAAAACAAAAAACAAAAACCAGGGTCCTCACAAGGAGGTAGTAGTAACTGAGAGAGGGATCTTGGAGTCCTAATGGACAATCATTTAAATATGAGCCAGCAGTGTCCTGCAGCTGCCAAAAAAGCCAACACAGTTCTAGGCTGCATAAACAGAGGGATAGAATCAAGATCATGTGAAGTGTTAATATCAGAGGTGGGATTCAAATTTTTTTAACAACCGGTTCTGTGGGCATGGTTTAGGTGCTGGGCATGGCTTTGGTGGTCATGTTATTGGCTGGGTGTGGCCAACTCAATATCACTCACATCAAGGCTCCTCACCTGGCCTCTCATGACTGTGGGATTGCTGCAACAGTCATAAGTGTGAAAAATGGTCATAAGTCACTGTTTTCAGTGCCACTGTAACTTTGAATGGTTACTCCACACAAGCAAAGTACCAGCAAAGGAGGGGGAAAAAACTCCAGAGAAATTCCTAAAACAGGAAGTCTCGTCCTGCCAAGAACGTAATAAGGGTTAACGGAGAGGCAGTTTCTGTAAACAACACCAGAATGCTTCCTTCCTGCCTTCCTTACAGGATTAGGCCAGTACTTTCTTCTAACAACCAGTTCTCCAAACTGCTTAGAATATTAACAACCAGTTCTAGAGAATAGGTGTGAACTGGTAGAATCCCATCCCTGGTTAATACCTCTTTATAATGCCTTGTTAAAGCCACACTTGGAATCCTGCATCCAGTTTTGGTTGACACGATGTAAAAAAGATGTTGAGACTCTAGAAAGAGTGCAGGGAAGAGCAACAAAGATGATTAGGGGACCTGAGGCTAAAACATATAAAGAATGGTTGCTGGAATTGGGTTTGTATAGTTTAATGAAGAGAAGGACCAGGGGAGACATGATAGCAGTGTTCCAATATCTCAGGGGCTGCCCCCAAAAGAGGGAGTCAAGCTATTCTCCAAAGCACCTGAGGGCAGGACAAGAAGCAATGGGTGGAAACTAATCAAGGAGAGAAGCAACCTAGAACTAAGGAGAAATTTCCTGACAGTGAGAACAATTAATCAGTGTAACAACTTTCCTCCAGAAGTTGCGAATGCTCCAACACTGGAAGTTTTTAAAAAGATGTTGGACAACCATTTGTCTGAAGTGGTGTAGGGTTTCCTGCCTAAGCAGGGGGTTGGACTAGAAGACCTCCTAGGTCCCTTCCAACTCTGCTATTCTGTTCGATTCTGTTCGATTCTATTCTCTATTCTCTGTTCTATTCTACTCTATTCTTCTACAGCATCCATCAATTCTGGACTTTGGTGACCTCAACTCTGACCATTCTGAGCAGCATTTCAATTTAGATAAGGTGTCTTCCAACTTTGACCAAAAATTCAAGCCTGTGCTGATAAGACAGAGAAGTGCACTCTATAATAATAGTCTAAATAGTCATTAAAACTAATTTATGGCACAGGTCATCTTCTGACGTATTTTTTGGGTGCTGCTGCACAAAACCTAGCAACGTTATATGTATGTCGTTGCAGGGTTGGTATCCAAGAGCAGCAGGGAGGTGTAAAATTGCGTCCTGAGTATTTATGCAATAACAGTAAAGCAGTAGTAATGGTAAAATGAAGCAGGCAATGCATATATTTGGCCAGCATTCTTTTTTTATTGACTTACCTGGCTTCTCATGAGACTCCTGACAGTATTTCCAAATGCAGTTTGTAATATTCTGGGAAGGAGAAGCCTCAGTGCATTGTTTACATGACTCCAAATCTTTACATTCCCCTGTTTAAAAAAAAAAAAAAGGCATAGATAGAAAGGTTGTTTTCCTTCTGGGCTTTAGATGTAGATCCTAAAATATTGGTTGAAGTAACAGAAAATTGTTAAGTTCTAGAGTTATTCAATGACCAGGAGCTGTCAAAAAATTGCCCTTTGTCTTTTGCCTCCTGCCCCCCAAAATGTTCAGGTATTAATTTAGATTCGACAGGTAGTCCTCAACTTACAACCATTCATTTAGCAAATATTTGAAGTCACAACAGCTCTGAAAAAAAGCTATTTATTACCAGTCCTTGTACTTAGGGACTGTCATAGTATCCCCACAACCACATGGACAAAATTTGAGCGCTTGGCAACTGGCATGCATTGATGATGATTGCAGCATCCAAGGATCATGAGATTGTCATGTGTGACCTTCCCAGCCAGCTTCCAAGAAGCAAAATAATGGGGGGAGCTGGATTTGTTTAATGACCACATGCTTCTCTTAACAACTAATGTGATTTGCTTAAGAACTGTGGCAAAAAAGTCCTTCCTTTCTTTTGAAAACCGTGCTATATATTGTATGAATCTGGCCAATGATGATTTCTAATAGGAACAAACCCCAATGAACAAAATAATTAGCCTGATGTGTAAGCCATAAGCCACAACTGTATTTTTATCACTTTTAGGAAGAGATGTTTTGATCTCCTTCTTGTTTTCTACTCTTTCAGTATTACATCCTTGGGCTTTGTATCTACTAGCTTGTTAGCCTGCAGGTAGTTGCCCCATGTCCACGTGCCTGTTTAGTTTCTGTACATCATGTAGAAAATATTATTTTTCTCTGACTACAGTCGATGCACTGGATGGAGTAGACGATGAGCTAAAAAAAGTCTGTACAAGGACAATTAGACTTTAACGTGCTGTCAGGGCTCCGACAAATTCGCCCCGGTTCAAATCATAAGTCTCTAGCCGCATCTCTCAGAGTAAAAAAATGTGATTTATTAGGAGTGACCATGTTGGTGTTACCTGGGTGCAGCTGGCACTAAAACACATCATTCATTTCCCCTGGTCTTCCCCCCACCCCCTGGATGTATATTCTCCAATGGGACACATCCATAGCCAAGAGTCATCAATCATGCTCTCCAGTAATAATCTTTCCCGCCAACAGCTTTGGGCTGCCTAGCAATTATCTGAAGCATTTTAGGAATGCACTGCTTTCCCTTACTCCCTTTCTGCTGGCAACTAAAAAGACTAAAGAAATATTTTTAGTTGACATGTGCCACAAGATTCTGGGTTGTTTTTGCCATAAAAAGTGAACAAAGTTCTCACGCTGGAAATATTAAAAAAAATATTACTTTTATCATTGCAATTTACATAGCTGCCCCATCTCACAACCCGATAACAGTACAAGATAACCCAACAATGAGAAAAACAACGTTGACGGTGTGAATGACTGCGCAAGGATAATTGTATAGAATTCAAAACTTGTGATCGAGCAAGTGGACACACCTAGCTGATCTTGAAATGCAAAGCGGGGTCAGAGCTGATTAGCTGTTGGACAAGAGACCTCCCACAAATCCCCCAAGCTGTAGGCTAGACCAGTGGTCACCAACTGGTGGTCCACAAGAAAATTTTGGTGGTCCGCAGAAAGATTATTTGCATTTTTTATATTGCACTAAATCAGGGATCCCCAAACTATGGCTCCTGGGCTGGATCCATACAATGAACGTTTTGTGTTGCTGAAGAGAGTCGCCTCCTTCGGGGGAGGTTTGAGGGGGTTGGAGGGGGGCAGGAATTCTGACTTGGGGTCTGCTTCAACCTCCTGGTGCGGGGCTTTGGGCGAAGGTTGGAGGGAAGGGCCGCTGGTGAAGAGCCAGAGGGTGTTCTGACCCAAACCCTTTTCCAATACAACAAACACGAACCAAAGGGAACAGAAACCTTTTAATGATTCTTACGAATCCCCAGTTAAAAGGCTGCTGCAAACTAATTAACTTTGATAAGCACGAGCCTCGCCAAAACTGTGTGAGGCTGCCAAGAATAACAGAGAAGGTTACCTAGAAATATTTTACAACACCAGAGTCTTCAAATACCAAATTAAGATACTGCAATGTCCACGAGGCTCAAGTTTCAAAATGTCTTTGCTTCCTACAAAGAACGTTCGCTTCACAGCTGGCTTTTATCTTCTTGAAGGAGGGGCCATTACCTTGCAGCCTTACTCCCGAGTCGCCCATGCTGCTGCAGCTGCTCTTTCCTGCGAGCAGCCCTGCGTGCATGTGCACTTGGCACAGGCTCCTCGGGAACCTCCTCATCGCTGCTGCCAGCCCCCACAATCTCTATCTCTGAAGGCAGCAGTCTACTCCCTGATAGTCCTGGCCCCTCATCTGAGTCCTCACTCTCCTCAGCCGTCCGCACCTGCTGCCGGCTACCACAACAGAGGGCCTTGTTCCAGTAGGACTGCATCATGGCCTGGAACTGGCTGACCATCTCAGTCCGCTGAGCCTCCAGGTGTCAGTACTTGGCCTTGCACTCCCGCAGGTCTTCCTCTTGGCTTGGAAAGCCTATGCTCATAGTCCTCCGTGAGGTGCTTCTGCTGAGCCTGTTTCTCGGTCAGATCCAATTTGAACTGCTTAGCTCCTACAACTGCTTCCTGCTGGGGCCCCAAGGAGCACGGGCAGGCAGGCAAAGAGTGGCTGGGAAGTGGGAGGGCGAGTAGAGCCGTCGAGGTGCCCCTCGATGTGAGTGACATCAAGTTGGCCACGCCCACCCAGTCACATGACCACCTAGCCACGCCCAGCTGGTCATCAGGCAGATTACATTAGTGGTCCACGGGATTTAAAATTACGAAGTTAGTGGTCCCAGAGGTATGAAAGGTTGGTGACCCCTGGGCTAGACTGCAAAGTTGACAAAGTTGACCTTGACAAAGTCCTTGAGTTACAGCACGATGGAGCCCAACATTTGTGTTGCTTAATTTGTTGAGTTTTGACCCATTTTACGACTTTTCTTTGCCACAGTTGTTAAGGGCATCGTTGCATTTGTGAAGTTAGTAACTTGGTTGTTAAGTGAATCTGGCTTCAGAAGGTCGCAAACGGGAGACTCACATAACGCCGGGACACTGCAACCATCATAACTACGAATCAGTTGACAAGCTTCCGAATTTTTTT